TTAGCTTTGCAGTTTTGCTAATATACATGTATTGTCACGAACAGTTTTTTTGGCAGTAGTGATTATATAGTGCAGCGTTCGGTTTTTGTATACCATCGGTGTTCTGCTGCACTTTACAGAACCATAAACCGTTTGCAATGGGTGGGAAGAGCAAAGTCTAATGCTGCCTGGGCACACCGGCTAGTTTAGGATAACTTGTACATGGTGAGAACGAACCCACCCTATGCAGATAACCCTTGGGTGGACGTTGTAGTCTGGACCCAGGTGCCCTCTAGTGCTGTCCTGGTAACTCGCTTCCTTCACTTTGGCTGACCTATGATCAGCACAGAGGGTTAATTTTCCCAGCAGGCACACTAATAAGAGGCCTATCCCAACTCTATCCAAAACACGGGATGACCCAGGACAAGTATTGGGCTTAGGACTCCCATTGCTGAATACTTTTTTCAGGTCTCAATGTTCTGAAGCTGCAGATAGCCAGGCAACTAAAATGGACTACTGATGGGACTCGTGAATCTCCTGGTTTGCCCACAAGGGTGGTTCTTCATAGTATAGGCCAGGGGCAGACACATCAGTATGGAATGCAGGATTTTATTAGGAGCCAGATCATGTGACAACACCAATAGAACTTCAAACGCTAGGTGCCGGATGCTAAAGCATTGACTACCTGGCTCCAGGGATTTTTATGGCCCTGGTATAGACTGCCCTTTAGTCAAGTCGACCTTCCCCGTATAGGAGTGTGGCTCGGTAGCGATTTGTCTGCCGAGCTTGACTTCCTTTCTTGATATGGTTTGTGGCGGACTGAGATGACAGGAAATCAAGATGACTGATTGTTGTACATGGTGCAGCCAGTCACAAAACAAGCCCAACTATTTCCCCATGAGGCTTGGCAAAGGCTTACTACATCCGATGCACTTTGCTTTATTTTAAGCTGTCAAACTGCTTTGTACTTTAAAACTTCAATGGGACGTGTTCTCACATGAGATGCATCACGATTGTTCTGGAAATCTGCACACTTCTGGTTACAGATTCTTCTCCAATTAAACTATAGCTGAGCATACATGGCTTTGATGCTTCTATGTAAACACATCACACCTAATGTGAGCGAGTCCCAACACTTTCTGTACACACATGTACTTGTGTGATGAAACTTCTTAGGCTCTGTTCACACCTAGGCGTATCGAATATGCGTGTGTAACGCGCGTTTTTTACCGTGATTCGCCGTAAAAAAACATGCGACAGACGCGTGTTTCCGAGTGCTACTTGGCTGTATCCCAATGGAAACGCGCGGCCAAGAAGCTCATGTACGTTTTCAGGCGTAGGCTGTTTTGTAGCCCATTCAGACGGGCTGAAATACGGCAAGGTGTGACCCATACCCATAGAAAACAATGGGATTTTCATGTTTGAGCGTTTTTGTAGAGCGTTGAACGCGCTACAAAACGTACAGGTGTGAACCAGGCCTTAGAGGACCATACTTCCTAAACTCCTGATCACTCCCTACAACAAGCATACAGGTCAGAACTCCCAATGTCACGGACTGCATTCATGATCAGGTCTTTTACTTGGGAAAGCCTCTATTAGGAGGACAATGGCAGCGCTTGTACTTCAGGTGGGGTTTTTATTATATGGTGGTTTCCTGTTTGTAGCCAGTGTGGGCATTAAAGAAACCCTCTCGCGTTGCTAAAAAATGCCCTGAAAACCTGCTGCTGCCCAAGAATGTGAGTGCCACCAGTGGTGGACACATAATATGAAATTCAAGAGCCAACTCCTTTGACACTAGATAAAACATCAATTTAGGTGCCAGCTATAATGTTTAACCAGTTGACATGCGCGGTGTTAAACCCCCTTCCCATCCAGGCCATTTTTCAGTATTCAGCGCTGCTTTACTTTGACTGACATTTATTCCGTCATGCATCGCTGTACTGAAATGAATTTTATACCCTTTTTTGGGGACAGATAGAGCTTTCTTTTGGTGGTATTTATTCACCACTGGGGGTTTTATTTTTTTACTATATTAAGGAAAAATTACCGAAATTTAAAAAAAAAAACTGTTTCCCCTATATTAAATGATAAAACATTTATTACCCAATTTTTTGGTAAAATATAAAAGATGGGGTCATGTCGGGTAAAAAGACACTAAACATGTCAAGCCTTAAAATTGCGTGCGCGCGCGAAACCTCAAAAAACGATAATACCCAAAATTGGCCCTAGGCGACGCTTTAAAAGCTGTTACCGCTCATCAGTTTAGTGTTATCAGTGATTGATGGCCCTAAAATGATTGCTCTCACTGCGACGTTCGCGGCGATATGTAAC